TTCTGCCCAGTTCAGATGAGCTACTCCAAACATGGACTCAGCTGCTTTTTATACATATCTCAAGTGACAGGTGAGTATTTCACACCCTTTACTTTAACAAAGTCTTGTACAATCTGTCACAGCAATGCTTTAATAAATGTGAAATTGGTGACAGACATGTAGAAGCCAACTCATGTTAACCACACTTTTCAAACAGGGTTAGTCAAAGCCTGTCGGAGGGATAACATTTTGAAAACATATCTCTTAATGTTTAATGATTCAGCTATCCATCAATAAGGCAGAACCATCAGCCACTTTGCAATGGGAACTATAGAAAATCACTACAGAATGACTTACCCGTACGAGGCAGAAACAATTTATAATTAGACCATGGCCTCCTAAACATTTTCTGACACTGAAAAAAGGGCAGGTTGCTGTACAATTACCCACTGCAATGACTTCTGTGTCCTCCTTTAACAATTAGGATATAGCACACAGTGTAAGGACAAGGCACTGTTTTAGACGGATAACTGTGCTTTCCCACTATGACAGAATTAAAATACTTGGCATGTTTCAAATGTTGTGGCTTGGTCTCATCATTAGTTTTTTGCTGCTATCATGTTTTCATTTATGTATTTATGCCTCATTTTATATACCTAAGTAGCTCAGAGAAGGAGTGAAGGAACACACACTCTGCAAAAGTCAGCACAGAACCCAATCCAATACACATCACAGGAAAAAATGCTGAATGCTTTGGCCCCACCTCTGAAAGAAAGTTCAAGTTTCAGATCTCTGACAGATGTTAGTACTCCATTCACATTGCATGTTCAAACCTGTACTTTGAAAATTTGCCTTAGCTTTGCCACAGGCTTCAGTAGTCAGACCTGGGCACTGTTGACCAGATAGAGCGGACTCAAATGTGCCATCATGTCTGGATTACAGAACTGTCCGCCCCATGTGCCACACACTCATGAAGTACCACATATCCACTCCATGCTTTAGTGGTCCTTTAACCACAAAGCCTACTCTTGTGGTTGCAATTACTACTGAGGAGGAGCAGGAATCTTTCTGTGGACCCAGGAGTCATTTTTCCAACCTGGTTTCCTAAGGTATGAAGCTGACGTGATAACACTTTCCTTGTTTGTGTGCATCCCACTATAACTTCTGAGCCCTCTGGTCAATTCTCTACAAATTTAATAGACTGAAAGAAATTTCCAGTAAGTTGTATGGAAATGAACAGTCAGGTAGAGGAAAATAGACATATAAATGTCTCCAGTGAGGACAGGATTACAACCTGAACTCAAATTTTATTAGACATTATAAAATCCATCTCAGAGAGAGCAAGTATGAATTTCCCAAGAATGGGAAATGCTTCATTCAGAACAGGCACCTATTACAGGTCATTTAATTGCAACGGGAGCCAGAAACCATCATCAATTAGTAATGCCGCTCCCTGAACTACTGTCATGGTTACCCATCAGTGCAAATCTTCTTATGATGTCTATAGCATCATTTGCGGTACTAGACTTTATGTGGGGAACTGACTGTTTTAAAATCCTTTTGTAAATATTTTATATTGCTCTCAACCTGACAGCACAGTGACAGGGAATGCTAGGCATTCGGGATACCCTGGAGGGGAGAAAATAAATGACAGCTGTCACCTCAGTGCTGCCCTTTGAAGGGACCCAGATAATGGTATGGGACAATTGTGGTTAAATCCCAAGAGAGTTTTGGGAGTGTCAGCCACAGGAGCCTTGCTGAGAGCAGAGGTAGGTAGCTCCAGCTGAGCACACAGGCACACAACTTTAGAAAGGTCTGGCTGCTTTCATGCTGGGAGAGAAAAGGCATTTCTGTCTAGCAGCCAGGACAACACACTCTGGAAACAGGAGAATGGCCTTCTTTGCCTGTTTGGTGTCCAGCTAGGTGTGTGCTTTGGAGCTGCAGGATGGAATTGCATTCACTGCATGTGAAAATTACGGGTTTCTGTTCACTGGGTAGCTGAAAAATTCCCATAAAATACTACGCAGAAGTTTCTCTGCTTCACAGGGGAGTCCTCTGAGGTCGCTGCTCAGCAGCCCGAGACTTGGACTTCCTACAGGTGTTCACAGTCTGCTAGACAGTTCCCAGGGACGTACGTAAAGCTCTCTCTTGGGAGGCTTTCCAAAAACATCTAATCTAAACACCGGTATTGCTGCACTTTTATGTATATCTTTGTGTGTTCTGGCACCTGATAAAAATTCCATTATTTTCAGCGAGTGCATGTCACCTGGTGATACCGCAGCTTCCTCTGCGGAGGTGCTTTTGCAGAGTTCATCCTTAGGTTATACGTGGGCTATTCTTTTCTTCTTTTTCCCCCCAGAAACTCCAGGAAAGACATCTGAAAAACCCCATTCTTCTACATCTCGTTTGGATTTCTTCCCACTACAGAAGGTACTAGCTACAGCCCAGCTGTTCTCAAAGTGATGGCTCAGCAGCTGAACTCCTGTTGTGTACAGAACAGTAAAAGCACAAAACGAATGCCAAGTACTGATGGAGCAGCTACACGTTCATTGTTAGAAGGACCGCTAGTGACTACTAAGTGCCATCAGATGGTTAAGGACAGCCAGTTATGGTTTAATGGCTCCTCTTGGGGTCCTGGGAAACTAACTCGTAAAAAGCATCAGAGGCCCACTACATCACTTTGTTTTTTAACTAGCCACAAAGGCATTTAACTCAGCATGCCAGAGAGTGGGCTCTCTGATACAAATGGATCTGGCTGAGCAAGACACACTTGCTGCAGCCTCTCTAAGGGAGAGAATAATTTAATATCTTCCTGGCTGCTCAGCCCTTGGTGTAGGTTAGACCGATACTTTTTCTGCAGTCACAGCGGGGTCCTGCAATTTACTGTAAGCTTCTAAAAACGTTATGTATCCATATTCACTGCACACAGGTTATCCAATGATAACCACCTTAATCACACTTGCTGAGCTGAGATTCAAACCTGCGGTGAAATGGCAGTGCTTTCTGAATCAGCATGATCCTCAGTGGAAGGATTCTATTTTTTTAGTATTTAAACTCGGTGTCTTTTTTTAAGAGATTTACTAAGCACTGTGACAATTTTGTAATAGAGAGTCAACCAAGACAATTTCTTGCATACTTTAAACCCATATTTAACTATAATTAAGCTGCAAAAGTTGCCCTGCTAATAGCATTGTGGATAGTGTGCAAGAGACAATGTTTTTAAAGAAATCTTTTGGCTCTTACTTATACCTACTCTGCTTGGGACAATAATGGAAGAAATACTCAATTCTCTGCTCACAGATCCATTCATGCAAGCATACCACATGAAACAGCAGCAGTACTTCTTTCTAATGCTAATGGAATAGTCCATCAAACCTTGCTTTGCAGCTGTTTTTGGTAGAGTATGAAAAAGGATGCTCGCTTCTGCAGATCTGATGACATCGACATGCTTTCCTACCACAAACCTTCTTAATATGTCAAACAGTTTGAATTAAACCTTGATCCATGGCTTCCCAAGCGCACGGGAAGCCATCAGCGCGCCCACGGAACGGGCTCTCACATGCCTTAGTGACAGGACCAAATGCAGCGACGTGCGTAGCACAGGACAAGGGTGTTGAACGGACGAGCCCATGCTAGCACCAAAGGCCCACGCAGCCCTAACCCGTCACTTCTGGGCGAGCCAGCGTCCATCTCTCCTGGACCTGCGGTGCTCCTTCCAGAGCACAAATCACTGCCTGTCCTTCAGTGCCCTGCCAGCCACCCCAGGGCATGTTATAGCCACACCTCTGTCAAAATGAATAGTTCATTGACTACTGAAAAGGCAACCACTGTTTTTTTCCCCTTCCTTTCTTTCTTTTCCTCAGAGTGCCTAAAACAGGCCCGCCAAGAAAAAGACTGTACGCTCTTCGTCGCACATGGTCGGTTTTATGCTCTGTGTAAAGCACAACAGACTGTCAAAACCATGCTGCTCAGTAGAAAGCACAGCCTGAACGCAGGGTCCCTTCCAATCTGGGAACTCTGGGAAGCACTGCTGAGGCTGGAGCAGTACCTGCTGAAGACCTCACCATGGGAAAGGGTGGTGGGAGCACACATCAATGCAGTGGCTTCAAAAGTCCCCCCCTGAAATGCTAAGATGGCTCCTAGTTAGAGTTGGCGTTGGGTGAGCACCTACATCCAAGTCCTTCACTTGGCTCAAGGACTGAAGACATTCCTTGGGATGCAAGTCTAGACCATCCGTGTCAAACATGTTTTTTTAGTGCCCCCTTCTCATCATTTGTATGCTCATATAAAAATCCCTAAAATATATACGCTAATTTCTCCACCTTCCAAGCAACACACCAAAGCCATTTTGCATACACACATTTTTAGCTAAGACTACTGTGTTTTCAACTCCTTAAATTGCAATTGCTCTTGTTTTCAGTCTAGCTATAGCAGTTGAAAAATGTTCGATGCTTATTTCAAACTGCACTGACAGTATCAAATAATGAACAAATTATTGCCGTGTATGAAAAATGCATCACTTTTGTTTGGAAAGTAATTCTAAAGAAGAGCTTAGAAACCACCTGGCTCTTTTTCAGATTTACAGTTGTGCCTTCTAAGATTATTTAAATAATGCCCCTATTCCTTCTATCCATAACGTTTTGGAGCACAGGGTGCTGCAGGCCAAAACATTAAACTTAGAATATATGTAAATGGCAGTGACATTTTACCTGAGTGACACAAGGAGTTCCTGAGACTTTGAGAGCCAGCCAGCACACCGCACTGAGCTGCACATGCAGATAAGGAACATTTTCTGTATTATTTGTGCACAACAGATAGTAATTCAGTGAGGAAAAATGTTTCCAAAATTATCTACTTTTTTAAAGTTTTCCAGTATTAGCCCTTTTAATCAACTCTATTCATGTGGGGTTTTTTTGACTAGCCAACACTTACAAAAGGAAAAAAAAATGAAGGAAATATAAGAAATATCTAACCAAAATAATTAAAAAGCAGTGCAGTTTTTCATGGATCTGGACACTTACCTATAAGCAAGATTACTAATGCGTCGGTAATGTAATAACCAAACAGGAAAGGCTTCTGCCAGACTTCCACACCAACAGCACCGGTGAGCAGATATGCAGCTATTAATACCTATAGAAAAAGAATAACATGTTTTAAATCCTTTACTTCTAAAGGCACAGAATTTCGCTTATCATCTTAATACCAATGCAAGAGTAGGAAAAAAAATGTGTGATTTTCCTCCTCCCCCCACTTTACAGGACCTTACGGTGCCATCCCAAAACAATTACGACTAAGCAGTGAAGCAGCTTCCAGAGTCACCAACAAAATTATTTAAAACACATGAAATATGGTAAGCAAGCAACTTCCCTGCTAATGTCTGCATCTGTTTGCATGTGGTAAGTATTACTGACTTACCTTTTCAAAACACCTAATTTCTAAATCCCTCCTTAATGCCAGGTCTCCCCTCTGCACATGCACTTTCTTGTATTCGCACACAGACTTTAGAATTAGCAACGTGGTTATTTTTGCAGCTCAGCCCCCTGACTGATCATATCAGAATAACTGAGAGGGAAAAAAAAAAATCTAAGTTCACCCGAAATAATAAAAAAATTCAATTGAATGTGAAGAAATAAAAAGAAGGGGAAGGAGCTGAAGTCTTGTTTGACAGATAACATCATTACAGGAGGCAAAAAGGAACAGGTAGTCAAACATCATTAGGAGCAAAAGGACGCGTACACGAGACTCATGAATCACTTGCTGAAGTACCACCAGTTTCAGTAGAGACGTAAATGTAGTTTCTACTCTCTCTTTGGAGTTAATTTTGCGACCCAGCTGAGGTCAGAAATTTTAATGCAATCAAAACCCTATAGCTCCTATAGCAATACCTTTCCCACCCATTGTATGACCTGTAGCAGTACCGCTGGCACAAATGGATGAAGTTTTACCATTTTAGGGGCGTGACGTGCAAATGCAGTACTGAATGGGATGCAGTGGTTCCCAAGCCCTTGTGCCCTTGATCCCACCTCCTCAAGGGACCCTGCTCTCCCTTGAAACCCCATTTTCTGGCTTAGCCCAGGCCACCCAGTCCCCGCAGCCCCCGCTGCGGCCGGCACCCAGCCAGCAGGACTGCTGCCCCACTCCTGCCCTGGGCTACTCTGTTATCAGCTGTCGATTTTTGCTACGGGACTTAGAAGGGGCTGTACATTTCATGCTTCAGGTCTCAACCTCCTGAACTATTCTAGACTTGGATTAAGAATGAATGGCAAACATTTACTTTAGCTCTAAATTAAAACAACTATGTTAATGATAATGTCATTTAGAAGACTGCATATTCATCTATTTATTCCCAGGTAACATTCAATAACCTTTATATTTTCCATCCAATACAGCTTCTCGCTCTGGGATGACAAGTATTTTCCAATTTTACCTATATGGTAGATTTTACTATTTTTTGTTTAGTTTTTTAAAATACTCATTTTTTACTATGTTACATTTCTTCTTCATTTTTAACTTCAATAAGCACATTTCCAGTCTTCTATTAAATTAATTGCTTTAATTTAAGGGTACATTGAAAAGCCTTTTTTAGATAACAGGCTCTTTAAGATCACAGATTAGTAGCAGAACACTGACATCACTTAAACTCCCTATTACATACAGATATCACTATATCTGACTTCACTTACTCCTCTGTATCTAAATTCAAGATTCTCGCCCTATCAGTATGTAGCTCTTTCAGAGTTTTACTTGAATGGGCATTGCAGAATTGGATGTTTGAATTACCTCTGCAAGAACAAGCAGCCCAACAGGTCTGCAATGGAGAAGAGTAGGCACTAGTATGAGAGTTACATCTTGGGCCATTGAAGACAGTGAGTCAAATTTTGGTCTAAACGAAGGACGTGCATAATGGGTTTTGCAACCCACTACAGCAGAATTAACATTTGGCTTTCTGAAGAAATTGCATTATGTTATCCGTAAGACATGACGGATGGACTCCCGGCCCCATCAAAGCTGATGGCAAAACTCCAACTGGCTTTGACGGAGCCTGAATTTACCCTCACACGTTGAATTCTGAATGGACTTTTTTGGCAAGTGATAAAAGAAGAACTTCAGTATTACTCGTTATTACGGTCAGTACTTTTGGCAGTGCAGTCCTGAGTATCGCTGTCGGATGTCAGCACACCTCTAGGAACACAGGCGTCGATGCAACGGGTTCTCGGGGGAATCCCCCGCCCTGGGATTTGGTGGGGCAGCACTCACAGGTTGAGATTGCCTCTTATTTAACAGATGTAGCATATGAAAAAACACTCTTTGGCTTCACATTTCTGGTGTGTTGTTTTTTAAGGACTCGTAACTGACTTCACTGAGACAGTCTCAAAGACCTCCTTTAGAAAGCTGGAAGGATGAGAAAATGGCTGCATCCCTTGATCTAAGCTATATTAGCAAAAATTGAAGAGTGTCAAAATTACTAGACAAAATCTAAGTATGTTAATCAGCTGCTTAAACTGTTTTTAAAGTAACTGCTGGTAAAAAAAAAAAATATTGAAATGTAAAGCAGTATTCCTAAGCAGAACTGAATAATTCTACTTAATGTGGCCAGGTTTTTTTACTCGTCTCTCTGGCATTGATCAGCTTTAGCACTTTTCAGATATAAATGTAGTCTTTAGCAAGTAAAAATAATTGCAACATTTTGTAAAATGAGAAGTCCAAATTAAATAACACAAGTAAGGACTATATAGCAAGTTAGTGTCAGACGTATACAATCTGCAATTCCAACTCACTACGGCATCTGACCAGGAAAATTTTTGGCTTGCCAAGGCTTTATCTATGAGGAGGAGGAGTCCTGGTGCAGACAAAAATCTGGCAATACATGGTGTTAATTTGTAGGCCCTTTGATAAGGCTGAACAGCAGGACGGCTGGCTTCTGAGCAGTGCCTCCCTATCTTGTCACAACTTTGTAAATCACAGCAACATAGTCACCTCTGTCCCTCGCTAAAATCAGAATAGTTCTTTAATGGGGCATTGGGAAAATTCTATATAACCATAAGGCAGTATAACTCCTTAAAATCTCCTAGCTTCTAGCCTTTTAACTGTTCTCTAAAATAATTGATTTTTTTAAAATCACCATCTCTTTCATGTCTTTCCACTATGGTGGGTGGAACTTTTGCGACCAAAATATTCCAGACTCTGTGTGTGTGTACATACATTTTTTTTCTCCCTAGTGACTTACCATTCCTGTTTTACACACAGGTACATTGAGTATGCTCTATGATGTACTACACAGGAAAGAAAATCAAACGTTTTCTCATTCTTTTTAAATATTCTGGCTATGCTTTTAATTTTTTTATGATTCTACAAAAAATGACATTAACTTTACTATAATATTCAATTCCACTAGCATATTCCAATAGCATTAATTGTTCATGTGTTGAAATATTTTCCATTAACGTAGTGCTCAAACTGAACGTCTAGAGAGCAAAGTCATTTAAAATACAAGGTTACTTTTTTCCTCTGAAAATGAATGTGACACTTGTCTAAAAAAGCAAGAACTAATGACTTGCTACAAGTGATTTCAATAGGAGTTAGCTTTAGCGTGATGTGTAATTTTTCCATTTTAATTTAATTTCATTTCCATTCCATTTAATTATTCTTTCAATAAATAAAGGTAGCAAATTCAGCCTACAAAAATAGGGGTTTATTTACCTTAAAAAGATCATTTTGCATTTAGACAAGCAGCATGTGATAGCTAAACAGCTAATGGCACGTGGAAGATTAATTAGCCAAGAAAGGGTTGAGTAGAATCATAATCAAGTGGTTAAGAATGAAGCAATCTGCTGCAGAAAGAGCCTGTGCCCCGCAGGTCCTCCGGTTTCAATTCCCCATGGATACAGATGGGGTTTCCCTCAGACAACCCAGCACCCAGGTCGGTTTCCAGCTGTGCCAGGAGACAGCTGGATGCCGACACCGTGGCCTGGCCAGCCCTGCTTCCACACCACTCTCGGTTCTTTTACTTCAACAATTCCAGTGAGCTCCTACCTTTGGAACTAAATAATAATCTTATTTCTTCACAAGAAAGGCTATGCTTTCCACAAACACTTCAAATTAGAAAAACTCTGGAAGTGAGTATCTTTTTAACTAAAATTAAAAAAAATATTCTGAATCCTGATAACATGACAATTTGCAGCTTCACTTTTCTTTTTAACAGAGCCTTTTTTTTTTGCCCCTCAGAAGAGACAGAAGTTTTTTAAAGATGGGATGTGCACTTGCATTGCTCGGGATTTCTCTGCCAGTTCCCAAAACGCTGGCTGCCACAGTACTTCCCAGGAAAAGGTCATACGAAACATATTTCAGCATGAGTTTTGTAAACTGCTTATGAAAAGCAAACCTGGTATACGGCATCCAAACAACTCCTTCCCCTGTTTTGACCAAAAGGAAGGAGAAAAGTAAGTTCCACAACGTTTCAGTTGCGACCTGCATCGGGTACTTCATTCATTGAGCTTCCAGGCAGGCAGAGTGTTCTCTCTGAAAGTCTCGGTGGGACTGTCCAAAGCCACGGGGCAGAACCGGCTGGGAAAGCATCTCAGACCGAAAACCAGGGGCTTACGGTCCAACCATCCATGCCTTCAGTATATATATATAAAATATACATGTATATAGGATTTCTGGTCACTGTCTCCTTACAGGGCCAGGGCAGGGCTGGAGCGAGCTGCCTGTTGCCTTTCACGTTTGCTGCTTGTCATTTTGTGCTTTTTTTGAGCTTGCCCTCTTGGCTGGGGAGAGGGAGAGAGGAAGGAGCGTGGAATCATCTGGGTCACTCCAGCTCTCACGCAGCTCTTATCTTCACTTTTAAACTTTTATTTAAGAATATAAAGGGTACCTCCCTCTTAGGCTTAAGGTAGCACCGATGTAAGCAGAGGTATCACTACTTCATATTAAGGAAAAATGAATATTTTGTTCCCCTACTATGAACTCAACTGCAGTGGGTTATGAAAAGCAACAGCAGGATTAGGGGATTATTTCACTTGTGGTATATTAAATTTTTCAGGAGGAAAATAGATTTTTTTTAAAAAACAAGAGGATGTTTGTGAAAATTAACATATGGCAGGAAGTCTGAAATTTTAATTTCTCAGGAAAGCTTAATTTTTCAGGAGGAAAATAGATTTTTTTAAAAAAACAAGAGGATGTCTGTGAAAATTAACATATGGCAGGAAGCCTGAAATTTTAATTTCTCAGGAAAGCGTTGTCTTTTTTTCTCCAAGAAACTTAATTTGCAGATATTAGCTTTCTTTGGTTGTGGGCTTGTGAACAAAATAAAAGTGTTTTCACAAGATGTATCCAAGAGAATTTCTCACAGAATATAGCAAAGGTTTCTCTTTTAGCCTTCTCTTCAGCTCATGACTTTTAGGGTTTCTAATAGATGTACTTACTCAAAAGTATATGAAAACTGTCTAGATGCTACGGCATAAAGAGGCTCCTCTCCCCACATCCTTTCCTGCCCACAGAGGAGTCCGCACAAGATAGCTCAAGGAGGGAGGAGAGAGGGGAAGAGTTTTCACTGCTGCAGATGCCTGCTCCTTGGTCCTGGATCCACAAACCTAACAGTCCTCTGACCAAGCATCTCTCAGACACGTTACAGCCACTTTTCAAGTTTACAAACCACAGCTTCCCATAAATGGCTGTCTGCTGTAATCAAAGCTAATTGGAGTGCCAATTACAGTCCAGCTAGCATAATTAGGTTACCACTTCTGGTGAGTCATCAAGTTGCAGAAAAATGTGATCTGCATAAGTCCCACAAATTTCTCTATTTATAATGAGGTATTTTTTCATGAGGAACAGCAGCTCTTTTTATACCACAGTTAACACAGAGCCAGCGAGCGGGCTGTCTGGGTTTATACACAGTGGAGCTGACTCAGCAGCAGTGTCCTGGGAGCTACACGCCAGTTAAGCTTTCATTAAGGTCAACAGTTATCTATTTGCACACTTGTACTAATTACTGCATTTCCTGAGCTTTGTGGTGATAACAAAGTCCAAAGTTCCTGGCTACCATCAAATTTCAAAGCAGAAGCAGGGGACTAGACCACCTGAATGTCTGACATGCCAATGCAATAGCATCATGTTGTCGGCGAAATTATTGAAGACAGAGAATTCGTGTGGCAATCCAGCTAGGAAAGCCAGGGAGGAAATAGTGAACTAAACGCCGGGAATCAGTCTGAAAGCAGCCTGTGAGTGCTTCTGCGCTCTCTGCCTCTGAATGTGACTGTGGGAATGTCTGGCAGAGAAATGGTGGGGAACAAAACCAGCAAGGGGAACATTAGCTTTCTTACTCATCATCAGCCATTTGCTAATGTCCTCAGCATCCTTTCCTCCAAGTAGCTGGAGATGAAGAGCTACCTTTAATAGTGCACACATCATACAAAATTTGCTAAACGGGTTTACAAAACAAGGGCAAGGCAATGTTTGTAGGACAATTAAGATCTTTTACTAGACTAGTTAGCACAGCTGGAAAAAAAAATGTTCTGTACTTTCTGGTGTGTGTGAAATGTAGTTTGGACTAATGGAAAAAATACTACCTTGATCTACAAATCCTGTCTTGTCTTTGGTCATAGGCAATCACAACTACAAAAGCTAATTTTTACAGATGGGAAAACTGACATACAGACATTTCAATAGTACAGTCTTCCACCACTGTTGATGTTTGACCAATATAACATCAAAAAATCCTATCTAAAAAATCCTACATTTATATGCTTATCATTTTGACTATAGGCAAATGATCACAGAAGTTGCTAGCAAGTGAGCGTGCAGGATAGCAATTCAGCATCCGAGGGGAACAGGAAATAGCACTTGTTAGCACCTTGCACCCAAGTTAATCAAAGCAGTTTACAAACTTTACTGAAATTCAGCCTCACCACCAATCTGTCAGGCAGGGAAATGTTACTACCATTACTTCCCAGATGGGAAATCAGTGACAGAGGCATAGGTCACTAAAAGGCACTGACAGAGTTAACAGTACTGCTCTGCTGGTTGATACTCACTCCCCTATTTAACCACTAATACAGTTTGGATGCCAGAGCAAACCAGAAGAGCTTTCTAAACATTCACACGTACATCTACAGCAATCATCTGAGCAACAAGTGAAATTTGTTTGAACACAGGTATTCCTCTCCTCCTGGTAGAACTTCACTAAGAAGCCTTACACAGACACGGCTGAAACTTGCAGACCAGCTGGCTGCCTAATGTCTTAGTCCTGAGCCAACTTCTCCCAGAACCTATTTTCTAGGGGACGAAACAGATGCACCACAGCTGGACCACCATCTCTGAGTTGTTCTCAAACCACTGGATTCTGATTATGTTTACAACAATACATCTGCAGCCATTAATTCAAATACTATATTTTCATTAAAACACATATTTGAATATTTGTCAAACTTCTTTTCAATTATGTATACTTGGCTGTACCTTTCATCTCATGCCTGTGACAGGAAGCTCAGAAGACTGAGACTGTGCTCTGCAGGCTGCAAGAGCCTGGCTGTCTAAGAAATAGATAAGCCAGCCCAGAAACCCCAGCACTGGGCCTTTGGCAGTGCACTGACCTTCTTACTGCTGCCACTCCTTTGTGCACTGAGGCCACCACTCACTCACCGTGGAGCCCTCGGTGTGTTTTTGAAGGGGTGCACCTCAAGGTAGGGCTGTAAGCCAGTCCAGAACTCAGGTGGGCCCTGGCTGTGAGCTGGTATGTAATTCACGTTACTGAATGCCATTCCCAAGAGGAAACTTCTAATGGTATGACTTTGACTTTTTTCCAAGGGTTAAACTCACTTGACAACAGTTAATGCTCACTGTATAGGTACAACGCTATTTCCATTACCACTTCTGATGTAAGAGGTGGTAGAATTGAGAAGGTCTAGTATTGTATAGCTGCATAATTACTGTTAATAAATACTACTTGGATGAATCAACATCATGCCTCAGAACCCAGTGTTGGTGAGAAAATTGCTTATGGTTTCAGATAGCATAATCATAGAACGGTTTGGTTGGAAGGGACCTTAAAGACCATCCAGTCCCAACTCCCCTGCCATGGGCAGGGACACCTTCCACCAGACCAGGTTGCTCAAAGCCCCATCCAACCTGACCTTGAACAATTCCAGGGATGGGGCAGCCACAGCTTCTCTGGGCAACCTCTGACACTGCCTCACCACCCTCACTATGAAGAATTTCTTCCTAATATCTAATCTAAATCTACCCTCTTCCAGTTTAAAGCCATTGCCCCTTGTCTTTAATAATAATTTTTGTTACTACCACAAATCAAATGCAGTTAACTAACATTGTTATGGGCACTATCTGACTGCTAGGCTGGCTGCAAGCTTTTTTTTTTCTGCAAAGTAATCAATCTCTGATTCTGACAACTTGCTCAAGAGCATCCCTTCTTGCAAATGCAGGAAATATTTCTGAATAACTTTTAGGGTTATGCTATTTCACATTCAAAATCTTGGCCAAATATATTTGCCTTGAGCTCTATTTTTCTATTTCTGTAATATTATGAAAACACTAACATAGTTAAAAAAATAAAACCAAACCAGGAATGATAAATACTTACCACTTGGCTTATATCGTATCCCCAAGGAAGAAAAAGAACTCCTGTGTTATATTTCTCCCAGTGTGAACACATAAAGTTAAACAAGACAATGCTTAAATATATATACATTGTATATACAGAAACTCCCGTCTTCCCATTGTCACGGGAACAGACAGAAAAAAAAGAAAGCACAAAAATGGAGGTAGCCCAGCTATCCAGCCCATGGTCAAATAATTCTCCCAGAGGAGTACTGGACTGAGTCCTTCGAGCATGTTTCCCATCTATGGAGTCTAGAAAGATTGGGAAAGGAAAAGAAATAAGGAATTAGAGCACAACAAAAGGAGTAACATTCTTCACTACTGTCATATATAACATATGGGAAAAATACATCGATGACAGCAAAGTGAAGCACAACAGTGCCTTCAATACCAACATGTTAGGATTGCTTATAAAATATTTGCTTCAGTTACCAAGTAATTTTTCTGTCCTTTCCTCAGCTCTTAAACTAAATGCCACCTTCCTTACAAGCTTTAGAAAGGCATTCATAGTTATTTGCTCCCAGTGGTCTTTAAACACTTTTATGTCAGTCCCTGCAATCAGTTTCTCAATGAAAGTTCTGAAAAGTGTCCATAGTCACTTGTCCATTGGTGTTGTGGACCCTGTAAGACTTTAGACCACTTGTGGTGTAGACTCACTAAGGCATTTAGGTTGCCAGATGCTAAATGCCCCAATGACTAACAGTTACATGGCAGCCTCAAGGAGCAAATTTAACAAAATTTATTTGTGTGTGTGCCTACTAAGATATTTTAAAGCGTCTTTTGGTTGAAATCTTAGGATACAAGAGCCAGCAGTGTGCACAGGTGGCCAAGAAGGCCAATGGCATCCTGGCCTGTATCAGCAATAGTGTGGCCAGCAGGACCTGGGCAGTGATCGTCCCCCTGTACTCGGCACTGGGG